CTCCTGGCAAATAGAAGGGGAAGATATGGAGGCAGTGACAGATTTTACTTTCTTGGGCTCCATGATCACTGCAGATGGTGACAGCAGCCATGAAATGAAAAGACGCCTGCTTCTTGGGAGGAAAGTGATGACATATCTAGACAGCATCTTAAAAAGCAGAGACATCACCTTGCCAACAAAGATCCGCATCATCAAAGCTATGGTTTTTCCAGTAGTGATGGAGGGAAGTGAACGCTGGACCATAAAGAAGTCTGACCGTGGAAGAATTGATGCTTTTGAATTGTGGTGCTGGAGGAGACTCTTGAGAGTCCCCTGGACTGCAAAGAGAACAAACCTATCCATTCTAAAGGAAATCAACCCTGAGTGCTCACTGGAAGGACAGATCCTGAAGCTGAGGTTCCAATACTTTGGCCATCTCATGAGAAGAGAAGACTCCCTGGAAATGACCCTGATGTTGGGAAAGTGGGAAGGCAAGAGGAGAAGGGGACAACAGAGGATGAGATGGTGGGACAGTGTCCTTGAAGCTACCAACATGACTTTGACCAAACTCTGAGAGGCAGTGGAAGACAGGAGGGCCTTGCGTGCTCTGGTCCAGAGGGGGTAGGGGGGAGGGCCTGGCGTGCTCTGGTCCAGAGGGGGTAGGCCTGCACATCTCCCCTTTCAATGGGCATAATTTCCACATTTTTAGGATCAAACTAGAGCTACTGCCATTGTTCTTAACTGACAAAAGGTCAAGAAAATTATGTTTTTATGAAACTGTCCATTCTCCATATAAGTGGAACTATAAGCAGATCACATAAACATGATGTTTTTTCATTTGGCTGAACTCATTTTGTTACCCACAATGTTCAGGTGTTTCAATAAATTATAGGATCATAAACCATGAACCTGCAGTTTGTTCATTTGAAAGCATCAGACGCAATCAAAATATGCATGAAGAAGGTGAAGCAATTATCTTTTTAGTGTCTTGCTGTAATTTTATAATTTGTTAATCTATTTAAAAGCCTGTCTTTAAAATGTGACACATACTTTTCATTACCAATCAATCAATCAATTACTTATTCAAGATTTCTAGTTCTGATACAGAGGCAGGACTATCACAAATGCATAGATGGCATTTCAAGGGCCACATTTAATTTTCCTGGGAATTTTGTTTGGTCTGATACAGAGGCAGGACTATCACAAATGCATAGATGGGGCCACCTTTAATTTTCCTAGGAATTTTGTTTGCCATTAATTTTTTTATAGCATATAATGTTTTATTCTTGAATGCAGGGTTGAGAATGAAAATTAAAATAAGCTTTTCAGAGGTACTTTAGGACTATGGTTTTCTTAATTTTAAGATTTGTAGTACAAACAAGATTTCAAAGGCAGGACTATCACAAATGCATAGATGGGGCCACCTTTAATTTTCCTAGGAATTTTGTTTGCCATTAATTTTTTTATAGCATATAATGTTTTATTCTTGAATGCAGGGTTGAGAATGAAAATTAAAATAAGCTTTTCAGAGGTACTTTAGGACTATGGTTTTCTTAATTTTAAGATTTGTAGTACAAACAAGATTTCAACGTTCAATCCTGAGCAAAATAGGAATAACCTTCCTGGGTCCACAGGGACGTGGTGGCGCTGTGGGGTAAACTGCAGAAGCCTGTGCTGCAGGGTCAGAAGACCAGCAGTTGTAAGATTGAATCCATGCGACGGAGTGAGCTCCCATCACTTGTCCCAGCTCCCGCCAACTTAGTGGTTTGAAAGCATGCAAATGCAAGTAGATAAATAGGGACCACCTTGGTGGGAAGGTAACAGCATTCCGTGTCTAAGTCGCACTCGCCATGTGACCATGGAAGATTGTCTTCGGACAAAAACGCTGGCTCTATGGCTTGGAAATGGGGATGAGCACCGCCCCCTAGAGTTGAACACGACTGGACAAAAATTGTCAAGGGGGACCTTTACCTACCTTTACCTTTACCTTT